CGACTTGATTTAACTGATCCAACTCGACTCGACTCGACTCAACTGATCCGACTCGATTGGACGTACTCGATTTGATTCAACTGATCCAACTCGACTCGACTCGACTCAACTGATCCGACTCGATTGGACGTACTCGACTTGATTTAACTATTACAACTTGAATCGACTCAACTGATCCGACTCGATTGGACGTACTCGACTTGATTCAACTGATCCAACTCGACTCGACTCGACTCGACTCGACTCGACTCGACTCGACTCGACTTAACTGATCCGACTCGATTGGACGTACTCGATTTGATTCAACTGATCTACTCGACTCGACACGACTCGAATCGTGCCCGGTCGCCACCGGCTCTGATGCTCAACTCGAGAAGCGTCCGGCACCGTCCGGCCTGTGGCTCAGCACCACGCGGCTCGGCCGGTCACTCAACGTCAATGGGGCGTTCGGACGCCGGAGAGGTGAGCTCGAGTCCCGGCCAGTTCGCCAATCACCCGCATCGACGCACCCTCCTCCGTCCTCTGCTCCACTCCGCCTCTCTTCCCACCACCCGGCGGCTTCACCTCAACGATGTTGTCGCCAGCCCCTTCGCCAGCCTCTACGACTGGCGCACGCGGCGTAGATTCAAGCGCAACCGTTGCCATCACTACCAGTAAGCAATCCTCCCTACCCCGTTTCCTGTCAGTCTCACTCTCTCCCCCTCTATACCATTCTGTCTATCAATATACCTTGCTCTTTCTCTTTATGTCTGTATCTATCTGTCTGTCTGTATCAATCCGTCTCAATCTGTATGTCTGTCTCTGTATCATTCCACTTTCCTCAAGCTCCTTCTCTCTCTCTCTCTCTCTCTCTTTGCATTCCCTTATCTCCTTCAGTCTGTCTTTCTCCCTCCTCACATTCCTTTATCTCCTTCTTTCTGTTTGTCCCTCTCTATGTCTGTTTGGTTGTGTATCTACCTCTCTGCCTCTGCTTGTCTCTATCTTCTTCAATCTCCTTATATCTCTTTATCTGTCTCCTCTTTTGTCTCCGTCTCTCTCTTTTTCTGTATATCTGTCTCTGTATTTCTGCTTTTTATTTGTATTTATATACCATATTTTGTGTAAGGTGATGATGGACTGATAGCTGAATTTTTCCCACAATGATATGAGTAGACGTTATGTTTCCATTGAAATTCACCTATCGAATAGCTAATTAGTAAATGAGAAATAACTAATGTAACCGATTGTTGTAGTAAATATAACTTGGCTTCATCAACGACCCTACCACAGAATGTGATATAGCAAAATGCTTGAGCAAAGCTAGAGGAAATGCAATGATTGCGGGAACATTAAAATATTACGCCTTGACGACATTAAACGAAATAAGGTAAAAACAATTCATATTTCACTTCTACTGCTACATACTACTGATATGCGGACCATCTGTCAAACCAGTGCCAGTGGGTGGTATGAGGTGATGTTGCATTAACAATTGAATTGTTGCGCAGATGATTAAAT